AAAACATTGCTAAAACCAACAGCAATTAATAAAAAAAAATCAGCTTATAATAAAAGAATATCATGAGTGTGAAGAGAGCAGGGTATATTTCATTTGTGCAAGTTCTGTCATCTCAGAGTATATTTCATGCTTACCTGATACATTGTCATGTTCTTACAGCGAAATATCAAAGGCTTTCCTTTTCCTTGCACAGCAATTTTTGAATGCAAGCAAGAAAAGAGAATATGGATTTTCTCCCATCACTGACAGAGCTGCTCTCAGTGCAGACTGACATGCACTATCATTTTGCTGCAGATTAATCTTTTCAAGCTAATCACAGTCCGTCATGTTCAATTACCTTTAGTTTTATCTCAAGATCAAAATAGTTCTTACATCCATACATCCGCTATTTGAGAGGCGAACAAAGCTCATACAATTCAAAAGATTAAACTCTTTTTTTGCAGTACAGGTTACTGTAATATATTTCTGTATTTTATCTTTTCATTATATTTACAGTATTTTTGTAATTCAATAGGTGTTCATCTGTGCATGTTTGTTTAGGGAGGATACTGGTTACTTTGAACCATAAAGTGCATATGGTTTGGAGTTTAGTAGTATTATTAAATTACTTTACGATCTGTTGTTTTGGTAAGACATTTGGCTGAAGAGGCTTTTGATAATGTGTTTGTGTAACAGGACTATCAGTCTGACTCGACTAACCTTGTGTCAGTGTTTTTTATCTGAGGTGATTCAGTTTCCCTGAAGTTTGTTTTCCAGGCAGCAGTGCAAGTTATGTTTGCCGATGGTGGAGGACTCGCACAATGTGTTTAAACAATGTGCTACAGAACACAAAGTATTTGTTCAAGACTGTGAGAAATTCATCCAGTCTTCATTCTCAACACATCGAAGATAATTGTTTCCACTCTCGTTCACGTTGTATTTTGGATCAGTCCCAAAGGCTGGACAGAACTCTACTGTCTGTGTCTTGGAGGTTCTCCAGACTAGAATAAGCTCACTAGAGTAAACTGGAATCACTTAATCTGTTAGTAGATAAGAATATATGCTAATGTGTGTGGTAATAAATCAAGTGAATAATCAGAAGATTTAAGAAACAAAACAAATGTATTTAGAATGTAGAAGTTAAATATTACACTTGATCCTCAGATTTGAAAAAATTGCCTCGTGTTGTGAAGGCTTTGTCATATTGCTAATTGGCATATGAATACATGGGAAATTATTGCAAAGTACTTCAGCAGCCAATTATAACAATTATATCCAATTATAATTTTAGCCAATTGTAACCAACTTCATGGCTACAAAGACAGTCAGCTACAAGCATTTTATCCAAATATGAGTGCCGTTGATTAAGTTATCTCTGTACTTTTTCTGCATCATCTAAAAATGACATGCTGTCATCGGGCTAGAGAGGAAATGTCAGTTCCACCGTATCCTGCATGTTGGGCCAAAACTAACTTTGCCACCAGCCAATATTGAGTGTGCTTGGCATTATTAACTCATGGCTGGATTCAAAAACACTATTATGCCCCTAAAGTTGTGCTGATATTAAAGTCAATTTTATGTGGGAAAACTGGTAGCAGTAAGGTCCTTTAGTTAATGTTAGTTAATGCATTATCCAACAATAACTAATATGTTACAATATTTATTAATCTTTGTTAATGTTAGTTATGAATAAATGCATATAAATGAGGAGATATAAATATAATATAAATATATTTGATGGCAATATAAATGCATCATTCATTCATTCATTCAATAAAAATACAACTGATCAGTGTTAGTTCATGTTTGTTCAGGTCCATAAAATAGCTAATATTAACAGATACTATGTTTAATTTTAATAATGTATTAATACTATAAATGTTGAAATTTACACTCCAAACTTTCCAAAGGTGGCATAGAAGCACATCTGAAGTGGTATTTATGTGTCTTTACAGACTGTTTAATTCTGCTTAGAAGAGGCATAAATGCATTTATACAGGAATCACAACTGTGTGTTTTGATTATTGATTTTGATTCTGGCTTTTATACAACATTGCGATTTTACACTGAATTTTAAGCAGGCACAGAGCAGCCTTAACGTGACACCTTAAGATTAATTAATGCTTTAGAAATAGTTTTCATTGTTAGTTCATGTTCATGTTGTTAACTAGTTGAGGTGTCTTTACACAGCTAAGTTAAGGCTGGTCTATGCCTGCTTAAATTTCAGTGTGAAGATGCAATGCTGAATAAAAGCCAAGGTAAATTATGCCTGCTTTGTCTCACCTCAGCACCTAGTATGAAAGTATACAGTTGTAATTGCTGTGTAAATACATTTATGCCACCTCTGAGCCACATTAAGCAATCTGTGGACACACTATGTCACCTTTGCATTGTAAATTTGACAATGTTAACAAATGGAACATTATTGTAAAGTATTACCGGAGTTAAGGCTGCTCTATGCCTGCTTAAAATTCTGTGTAAAAACTCAATGCTGCATAAAAGCTAGTCAAAATTTTGCTTTGACCCATCTCAGGCCCTAGTATTAAGGTGCAATTGCTGTGTAAATACATTTGTGCCACTCTTGAGCAGCATTAAAGAAGCAGTCTGTGAATGTGGTCTGAATGCTTTAAATGTCTGATTCCTGATGAAGTCTGAGTGATAAATGGGATATTTTCAGTAGGCAGCTGCAGTGAGATGTATCCTGCACTGCAGCGTGTCGCCTGTGTTGTTGGCCACACCCCTCTCATATCATGGGAATGTAATCAGGGGTCAACTCTAACTCATCTCATCTCATTCCATCTCATCTCCTCTCCTTTCTTCCAGACTACTGATTTATTTGAAATGATTGAGAAAATGCAGGTAATGTGTTTCATTTACTTTTCTCTTTTTCCTTCCCTCTGCCTTTCATCTTTGAAGTAGCATTAACCCTGAATCAGCTGTCCTAACGGGCTACATAGTTGCACTTGCATGTTTTTTGTTGTAGTTGAAGGTCAACACTGTAAATAATGAGGACATTTATTCATTAGAAACCACAAGAATGATCCCAAGGTCAGTCACTTACCCAACCACTGCTGCACACTATACTGTATCTTACTTTAATGTACATGTAAAAACATGTTATTTTGTGATGTAGAATGTAGTTGCAAACAGTTTAGAGAATTCATTGTTTATATGAATATGAAAAATATTTTTAATATAATTTTTAAACTATGACTAAATTTTTAAACTATGTATCTAGTTACATAATAGTTGCATTTTTTTTGAGCAGTTATTGCAAATTAAACCTAATATTTATAGTCTTATAATCTAATTTGTAATTTAGATGTATTTATTCATTTTAAATGAAATGTTAAAAGCGTTAAATTAAAAATAAAGTGTTAAAATGAAAAATATAACTATATATTTTTCTGGCACGGGTAAAATCTTGTTTCCAAGAAATTATATATATGTTATATATAATTATGTTATTACAGTTATGGCGAAAAATTTACATATTTATTCTTGTGCCCTGATTATCATAGTTCTGCAATTGCCAAATCTATAATGAGTACATGATTGAACTATAAAGAGAACAAATTCTCTGTTGTCTCTGGTGCTGAAATACAATACGTTCCTGATGTTGGGTACACAGAGACATATTGATCTTAGTCATTTGATATTACTGCGGTTATCTCTAACTTAGAATGGACAGATGTCTATGCAGAAACTGTAATAAGTGCACTAAATGTACCATAATGCTTCGGAGAACAGCATGACATTGAAATTGGATTTGATTTATTGTTGGGTTGCAGCTGGAGGACATTGTACAGTAAATGAGAAGCTTAGCTAGATGTACAGGATGTTTTAAATAACAAACGTGTTGGTATGTATATCACAGTTGGTCTGCCATAAAGATCCCTTGATGGAATGTGTCATCAGATAGATCAGACATTCAATCCCCACTGCATCTCAGTGCAGCATTTCAAATCTACAGCTGCTATCAGTAGAATGAGACTAGCTCATACAATATTTTCATTTTCAACTGTACTGAACTGAATAGCGCTTCACTCTTTTGAGCCACTGAGATGGTTTCTTTTTTTATGTTCAGCACTTTAATGAAGTAAGTGGACAAAGGGTTTGATACTTGAATCTTTAAGATGTTATATTTTGTATAATGACTGTGAATAACCTTGTAAATATTTGAACGTCTTCTCCCTGCATGCTCAAAATCGCACTTTGATCTTGTGTTCCACTGTCTGCCATATTCTTAAAACCAGATTAAAGAGAATAAAAAGCAGTTCATTGTCTAAGACTAATCTAAAGGCTTTTTCTGCCTCTCAGTTTGTCTTCGTAAAATAATGTGCTCTTTTCTAATATTGTTTAAGTGCATGTGAACTTTCTTTAATAAGATGTTATGGTCTTTCATAATCATTTTATGAATGTCCCATTATGCTGTTTAACTTTTTCCCCCTGGCTATTGACTGTTTTCCTTGCACTGACCTTTTTTATGAATTACATAATATTTTGTCGTAAATTATACTGAAATAATTTCTCAAAATTCATTGCTTTTTTTTTAGAATACACCCTCTTTAAAAACAAATTAATGACATTAATTAGTATATTTTTATATTTGCTAAGATTGAGTTGTTTTGCTCACTGTGGGCAATACAATCTTAATTTTTATAGAAATGAAGAATAATTGTGTAAAAAAAATGAATAATTATTGTATTCATTTAAACATTGTCCAGCATTGTTTTTGAACATTTACGGTAGCCCCTGAATTAAGATGCGTAAATTATATTTCTAATATTATCCATCATGTGTCTCTCTCAAGATATATAATTTTAGAGAAATTTCCAGAATTCCTATAGTTTATAACTTGAGATTTTCTTGCATATGTGTTCCATGTATTTTTTTTAAAGGCATGAAAATATCATTAGCTTCCTCTTCCTCAGTAGATCTAACCTGTGTTATTTTTGCTTTCACACGTGGGCTGACAGGGCTGCTATAGGGCTGACAGATTCGCTCTTTTTATCTTTCAGAGCAACAGAATGGACGAGCAACGATGCACTCTTCCTCCTCCTCTCAAAGTACGTTCACCTCACCAGCTCCCTTTTGTCCCTGTAAACACGAACTCTCACAAAAATACAAAACACGTATTGTATTGCTTCAAATAGAAGAGCTGGTTATCAGTCAAGCTGGTGCATCTAGTTTTCAAAGACATCCCTAGCCCACTTTCCCTTGCACTAATGGAACTGCAATCAAATAAGATTAGCTGGTGCTGAGCAATATTCTCTGGCCTACAGCCATACTGCCTGTATAGAATCAAACTGATCACATCACACTGAGTACAGATAGTGAGTTAGTTCTCTTAAATAAACCAGCAGATGAGCAAGTAGAGTGTTTTTTGCTCCTTGGGTCATTGGAGTTTAAAAAGGGTCTGTTGCAACCAAAATAAATCTACTGCATTATTATTGTTTTGAATGTCATCTCCTTACAGACTGAGGAAGACTACATCCCTTACCCCAGCGTCCATGAGGTAAACCAGTTCAGAAAAAAGAGCTGACAGAAAACATTTGGCTGTCGATATCTCAGTGGAATTTATTGTGCGCTTGCAAGACTGACCGTCACAGTAATTGTTTTTATTCACTGTCTCTGTCAGGTTCTCGGCAGAAAGACTCCATTTCCCTTGATTCTGCTGCCCCAGTTCGGGGGTTATTGGATTGAAGGGACCAATCACGAGCTGAGCAATGGGATCGACCTGGACCAGCTCCTGTCTGCCAACTCACGCTTCAAACAGGAGTACAACACCAGTGCTAAGATCTACAGGAAGCATTTTCTGGGCAAAGTAAGGATTTGCTTAAAGTAATAATTCGCCCAAAAATGATTGCGTCATCATTTTCTCACCCTCATTTCGTTCCAAACCTGTATGACTGACTGACTTCTGTGAAACACAAAATGTGAATTTCTTGAAGAAATAAAATCAAAGTAAAATTGTTATAAAAGTGGTCCATTCGACTCGTGCACTATATTGCTCTATGCACTATATGTTTCATTCACTAAAGTTATGCATTATTAAGGGCTTTTCACACTTGAAATAGTAAACCCTGGGTCATTCTAAACCCTGGGTAAAAGGACTACTTGCTTCACGTTTAACAGCAGGGTTTAGAATGGCAATAACCCAGAGTTGTATTTTAAAGTCATATAATAGCTTTGTGAGATGGATGAGCAGTCCAAAATTCAAGTCATTATTAACTGCACAGCCGCTCCTTGGTACATTATTGTGAGTTTGAAAAGTAGAAATCTCAAATTCATGGTCAAGCTATTCTTTTGATTCAGAACTTTTCAGTGAATTAGTTCACAAACTGGTCTGAAAGATTAATTCACTAATCAAACTGTTTAGGTCCTCGGATTCAACGCAATGATTTGCCCACAACAGTCCACTGGAGGTAAAAATTATCAGTGAACAATATGTCTGCAGAAAACCTTAAATATAAAACATGAGCCCCCACAAGTTGAAAATGCATAGAAAAGCTGAACATTCAGATTGAAATCATCTTCAGCCCATCCATTTGAATAAGTTTCAATAATGTAATTGTTAACAAATGTAACCTAATTACATAGGCCAATGTGACAGTGGTGACACTGCAGCAGGCAGACATAATGAAGATTTATTAGGCTTTAGCTTAAATGGGCTTAATGTATTCACATCTAATATCCATTATAAATTAAACTAATGTGCATAAAGAAGTGATCGGTTCGCTCTTAGATCTGTGGGGGAGTGTTGGGACTGAAAAGTGAAATGAGTGTGCAAGTGTGAAAATGAATGAGCGCTCACAGCTTCGCCTTCTGCTCCTTCATTAGGAACACTTTAATTACTATACAGTGGACAGTGCCCTGGGCCACCTGGTGTTCTCCATGAAATATGATGTTATCGGGGACCAAGAGCATCTCCGTCTCATGCTCAGGTGTGACCTTCTCTCTTCTAATACTGCTTTTTATTCTCCATCCATTCTAGATTGCTTCCCCCGCTGTCATGTCTTATTTACTTTTCTCGAATCACTTACTTGTCTCCTGGCCTTGTGTCCTGCCAAACGTCTCTAGATGAGGGCGGCTAATGAAGGGCTTAGTGTCTGGCACAGTTTCACTACTTTGTTTTGAGATTTGGCTTTTATTGTGGACATTAAACAGAGCACACTGATATCTGTTCCTTGACAACTGCGAATGTTTCCTCGGACCTACAATAAAAAAACCTTTTCTCACAGATTAAACAGGCCAAATGTACACGCCACCCTCGTTTCCGCATTAGGCACCAGATGGACAATATAGGGCAATGTGTGTGGGTGGAGGGAAGACAGCAGGATGTCCGTGTTATCAAATCCATGTGACACATTTAATGATGCCACAATGACACTGAAGTGAAGACTGTTAATAAGTGTTACTGTTGTAGGTCTGGGCCATGTTGTGCTTTAATTCCACTAGAAACTTTTTTGTTGTTGCTTCTTAGCTGCCTGGGATGAGGATTTTTAATGCATTACTGAAGCGAAGCAAAACTGAGAACGATAATAAATCTTGTTCTCAGAGAATATATGTGAAACTAAATATATTAAAACTATTTTTTTTTTCTTCTCCAATGCATGTTGGCCACAATTACTGGCACCCATATAAATTATTTTGAGTAACATGTCTCCGAATTATATTCCCATTCATATTTAAAAAAAATTAGCACACCAGGGTGACTAAGAGCATGAAATTGTCCAACCATGACTTCCTGTTCCACAGGATTATAAATATGAGGAACACAAAGGCCAAGTTCCCTTAGTCATTCCCTTAGTTCCCAGAGTAAAACCAAAGAATATAGTTCTGATGTGTAGAAAAAGATTGCTGAGCTTCACAAAATAGAAAGGCATTATAGGAGAAAACTCAGAGATGTTATCTTGGGAAAAGGACATTGCAATGTTTGGGTGCCAATAATCGTGGCCAACGTGAACTAGAGAAAACTTTTCATAATGAGATTTCTCCCCCACTTTCCTTTGTTTTACTTAAATGAAAGGTTAGAATTTTGTGAACTTTTGAATGAAAGATCAAAAGGATAAACTATGCAGATTTATTTTCACAGCCACCTTTGCTCATATTTACATACAGTGGGTACGGAAAGTATTCAGACCCCCTTAAATTTTTCACTCTTTGTTATATTGCAGCCATTTGCTAAAATCATTTAAGTTAATTTTAAAATAAATTTTGTCATTGGGGTAGGAAAAGTGTATGCATATTCCTACCCCAATGACAAAATTGATTTTTATATTACATACAGTACATATATACAGGTGCATCTCAATAAATTAGAATGTCGTGGAAAGGTTAATCTATTTCAGTAATTCAACTCAAATTGTGAAACTCGTGTATTAAATAAATTCAATACACACAGACTGAAGTAGATTAAGTCTTTGGTTCTTTTAATTGTGGTGATTTTGGCTCACATTTAACAAAAACCCACCAATTCACTA